GGAATTGCTAAAATGCAACATGTGTCCGGATTTTGGCCTACAAAAATATGTCATCCCTTTTTCATACACAGAATACAATACGACATTTCCCAGATAATCCATTTGAGACACATAAATGTCAGTGTAAATTACAGTATGAAATGTTTCTTCAGCAGCAGCAGGGGCGGACTGGCCATCTGTGTGATCTGGAGAATCACAGAACGGCCGGTACTCCAGGACGGCCGGCGGGCCGGCCCGCCACCCGACACCCACAACCCGCCACCCGCCACCCGCCACCCGCCACCCGCCACCCGCCACCCGCCACCCGCCACCCGCCACCCACAACCCACAACCCGCCACCCGCCACCCACAACCCGCCACCCACAACCCGCCACCCACAACCCGCCACCCGCCACCCACAACCCGCCACCCGCCACCCGCCACCCACAACCCGCCACCCACAACCCACAACCCGCCACCCGCCACCCACAACCCGCCACCCGCCACCCGCCACCCGCCACCCACAACCCGCCACCCACAACCCACAACCCGCCACCCGCCACCCACAACCCGCCACCCACAACCCGCCACCCGCCACCCACAACCCGCCACCCGCCACCCGCCACCCGCCACCCACAACCCGCCACCCACAACCCGCCACCCGCCACCCACGCAGTCACAGACATCCCAAGTCTCCCGGAAGTTCCTGGAGTCTCCCTCATATTGATAGATGCTCCCTGATGCCCGCAAATTAGTTAAAATCTCCCGGAATCTAGAGCGAGCAAGAGCGCGCATGCGTAGCGCGTGCATGGCAGAGAGAGGGAGCGAGCTAGCGACCTTGCGTGTGCGTGCCGTGCTAGTGTGCGCGTGTGCCTCGCGAAGCGCATGTAAGGACCCAACCAATCAATTGTCAGTGCGGGCGGGCTTTTATCTCTACTACTCCCGAACCGAATTAATCAGAAATTACTTTGCTAATTACTTGCTAGGGATGATGTTAGGAAGTAATATTCAGCTTGCTACATTTTTAATGATTACAGTAGTAAAATGCCACATGCAGGAGCTAATATTAAGAAATATGTTGTGCTTTTACTTTTAAAAATGTTGGTAACGTTACAGTTAATGCTTACAAACTTTGAAGATTTTGAATACAGAATTACATTTGTAATGGTGTATTTTCATTTAGATGTGGTATTATTATTTGTGCAGTAGATTAATTACTGCATAAATTAATAAGATTATTAAGTAATAAATTCATTTTAAGACAGCACGGAATTGTAAAATATGCTGTTAGCTATAATTTGGATGGTATAGTATCATGAGCCACAATTAAAGTCTTGTGACACTCATTTGTGCAGGCGTTATTGTTGTTGTCGAGTTTCCGCGCGCCGATTGCTTTGGGCCGGGCCTAGTCAAAGTCCAGGGCCGTTTTTTAGTCCCAGTCCGTCCCTGAGCAGCAGATGAGTCAGTCTGTCCAGTCATCGGCTCAGAGATCAGTTTTAACAGACCCTTCGCCGGCCCACAGTGTGGAGGAACGGCCCTTGCATCTGCACAATACAGAAACTGTGCTGACGGGTTATAGTTACACTATAGGTTATAGTGTGGGCTACATCTGTGCAGATACATTCCCTCTTCTACCCTAAACCCTCCATTCCTGCATCGCAAAACACGTGATGAATGCGTGTGCGTCTATAGTCAGGAGACTCCATGTGTGTCATGTCCCCTTTCTCCTACTGTATCTGTCTTTGGCTCTGTTTCTGAAGAGCAGCTCGAGAGGCGAGATGAAAGCCGCAGTGTGTGTGTGTGTGTGCGACGGATGAAAGGCTTCGTCGAGGAGAAAGCTTGGCTAGTGGCGTCTCTGCCATGTCGCATTTTGTTATGCACCTTTTGCCAATATTCTGATGTGCAGTGACATGATTATATGGACTGATGCGTCTTTCTAGGAGACAAAACTGATCACAAAACTGATCACAATCTAAAAAACACGTATTGTGCAGTATTTTTTATTTCATTGGATGCGGAATCTCTTCTCTGATGACGAGGGCGGGGCAACCTGTCACTCACATGAGATCCACCAATAGCAAACCACAACCATCCAATCATCTCCTCACAGACAAAATCAAGCCCCGCCCACATTTGTTCTTGTTTGAGAAGCACAATTCAATTTCTTGTCGACCTTAAAGAAGAACTCAAAGAAGGTGAAGAAGGCACAAAATGAACCTTTGGTCTAATAAAACGTTGGTACCTAGTCAACCGTTCTCTGAGATTTGTTTTCATGATAATTGAATGTAAAGAGTTTTATCTCTAAAAACTGTTTAGCGTATAATGCTAGTAATGGGGGCATTTAATAAGTAAAAAGAAATCGCTAGTTTATACCACTAACAAGACTCAAAATAGCCCCACACGAACATAATGAGGGTCCCTACATGCAAAACGAAGCATTGAGAACTTTGTAAGTGTACAGACCGTTTAATAAGAAGATATGTTATAAGACAGTCCACTTCGTGTATACAGACAGGAGCCATCTTTGGAAAACAGTCTCGACTAGTCAAACCACGAACGACGTGCTAAGTGAGCTGAACTGTATGAAGTTCAGTGAACTTCTGAACTATATGAATGGCGTCCGTGGTTTGATTAGTCGAGACTGTTTTCCAAAGATGGCTCCTGTTTGTATACACGAAGTGGACTGTCTTTATAACATATCTTCTTATTAAATGGTCTGTACACTTACAAAGTTCTCAATGCTTCGTTTTGCATGTAGGGACCCTCATTATGTTACTGTGTTCGTGTGGAGCTATTTTGAGTCTTGTTAGTGGTATAAACTAGCGATTTCTTTTTACTTAATACATGCCCCCATTACTAGCGTTATACGCTAAACAGTTTTTAGAGATAAAACTATTTACATTCGATTATCATGAAAACAAATCTCAGAGAACGGTTGACTAGGTACCAACGTTTTATTAGACCAAAGGTTCATTTTGCGCCGGAGTTCTCCTTTAACAAGCAGTGTTGTAGTACTTGAGTCGATCTCTTGAGTATCTTCCACAGATTTACGGTACATTGTGCTTTAATCAAAGCAGCTCACGTGTATTCAATGCTTTTATCAGTGTGTGTTCCCTGTCAGATCCATGCTGAAACACCGTAAAAGTAAAAATGTGCAGTTTGATAAAAAAAAAAGACTTTTGTTGGTTTACCCTGGTTTGAATCAGTCCCTTCTAATAATACTTTTGACTTCATGTACTGTGATTAAACACTTTTAACACCAGCGGAGCTTCAGAAGTTCATGCAGGAGTTTTGAAGCCACTAACCTGGTGAAATTCGGCAAATCAGGGATCAGTTCTTTCAAAATTGCGGATTGTTGTTGCCCAGTAACTTGTAAACACAAACTTATTGCATAAAGTAAAAGTAAAACACTTTAACATACTTTTAAAAAGAATAGTTACTATGGAAATATACTTTAAAATATATACTTAAGTGCCAAGTGAATGTATTGTTTTCGGACACTTAAATGGATGCTAATTGCAATTAAATGAAAATGTATAATAGTTTGAATTTATATTAAATGCTTTTAGACTGCTTTAGAGATCTTTTTTAAGCCACTTAACAGGTCTAATTTATATATTTATATGTAATTTAATTTGCATAAACATATCATTTCATAATTACTTATCTTGTTATTCAAATATGGTAGTGTGCACCGATAAGCATTTATGATAAATTACAATATACTTTAATGACATTTCATCTGAAACTTGTATGTCTTGCATTTGAACATATCTGTAATTACACATTTGTAATGATAAAGTTGCACCTTAGCACATTTAAAATATGTGAACTTTAAATGTTAAAAAACACTACATTCATTTTATAATCAAGCACTTTCCATGTGCTTTATGTTAGTCAACACGCATCCACAAAAGTCAAGTACTTTTGAAAGTGTCCTCTCTTTAAAGTGGCCTTATTTCATTACCATTATCTTCACATACACTAGTGCACATTCAGTACATTTAAGCACATTTCTTTTTCGCATTGGGTTTGCCAGATTGAGAAAGTGTTGCCAATTGTTTCTCTTATTTTCCCTTTACAGGTAAGGCGGTAATATTAAGTTACATCAGCATCACACAATGCAACACCACAAGCAACAAGCAGCCATATAACAAACATATACAGGAGGATGTAAGTAAGGTTTTGATCAGCAGATATTATACCGCAGTCTAACATCCCACATCATTGAGGAAAGTGTGCATCAGTTCAGCAATATGTCAACATGTATTACTGGGACAGTATGATCAGCTCCAAATCCAAGGATAAATGTTCACCACCTGTCTGTGTCCAAACAAAGGGCTTTTAACACATTTCAATCACTAATCCCACTTTAGCCGTTCAGGGTGAAGAGTTTCCACGCTCGAATAGAAAGGGATGCACATAAGTTTGTAGAAATAATAACAAATTGTGTCAAATACTAATGCCTTTTCACCACCACAGAACTAGAAAGCAACAATGAAAAACTCCAATTTGCCACTTATTGGAAAGCATCTTTGCTTAATTGCATTCATCCTCTTTAATGAAGTCATTGCAAACACTTTGTAACTTGAAATAATGATTCATACTTCATTCGTTCGTCCTTCAGCTGCAGCACGAATCTCAATCTACTGCATATTACTCAGTGTAAGTAAAGGTCAGTCAAAGACTAGTGATTCACAGCTGTGACTGGGCAAATGCAGAGAAGCTCTTCAGGTTTATACTGAGACCAGCTCACATCATGGATGTGCTGATCCATCAGTCACGGGGAAGCCCGGCGCGTCACCGCAGCATCAGCACCAGCACCTCGACACAGTTCGCAGTGCACGAGCATGAACATGTCAATGATGGATTTCATCATCAGCAATGCATGTGCAAAGACATCATGCCAGTCATGCCAGCGTTGTGGTTTCTCGAAAAACTGCAGCTGCTTCTCCGTGCGCAGTACAGTCAGATATATGCCGTAAACAGATATACACACACATAAATATATATATCCTCACCTGTGCTGTTCGTGTAAGCGACACGCGTGTCGGTAATGATGCTCGGGTCACTTCGAGATCTTCCTCTCTGCACAACGCGATCTTCTGGTGCCTCTGATGTGGCCATGGAGATGAGAACACACCATAAAACACAGAGAAGCCAATCTGCGTGCGGGAATATGAGCAGCGAGCGATGGATGTGATTCAGTTTGACAGCAACAGCAGCGCTGGAGGAGGAGAGCGCGCGTGCGCGTGCATGTGCGCGCGTGCTGATGATGGGGAGCCAGGCACATCTGGGGGGACCATCGGGTTTTCATCATTATTATTAGGATTTATTATGTTATAGGTATTGTTTTATTCATTTATTGTTTTTAATAAAAAAATATCATTGCTATAGCTATTTAATGTAGTAAGTTAATGTGTTTAAATGTGTTAATCAAGAATTCATGTGTTTTGGCATCCATCTTGGTTTTATATAAGGTGGCGTCTCGTTTAGCTCTATTAAAAACCGTGATATGTCATATAATCAGTGTTATTTGACTTGCTCATTCAAGAGAACTTACAGTGATTTGTCAGAGGAACTCGTGAATGATTAACATGTGATGCCCTCTTGTGGGCTCTTTATGATAGTGGAGCCACACACACGTTTGATGATCATGAGAGGCCACAATTTGATCAAGCTTTAAAGCAAGAATAGTCTGATAATCGATCAGATCAGACTGATTCAAACTAATTTTGCCTGATCAGCAGTCAGTCATTTTAAATTTGGTATCGATCAACTAAGTCACCAAAACACAGCACACCAAAATGAGGTTTACATAGGAAAGCCGGATTGATATTTTTCTGATATTTAGATATGTAAACGGTCTACAACGAGTAGCTCTATAAAACAAGTATTGCACAAAACCACAGCCTTTATTTTAAACATTTATTGCTATATCACTCGCTTGTTATATAACTTTATAACCTATATCACTGGGTTCTACATCTTCTATAAAGATTTATTAATTCTGTAAAAATAGCACTCATATTTAAATGTTATGAATCATTTGAAATGCTGCTTAAGTTACGACTCATTTGGCCAGCAGATGTCCTCAGCGTGCGGTGTTTCTCTTTCCGAGTTCAGAACAGTGAATCATGGTTCAATTGATTCAAAGATTCAGAACTGATTTCTACAATTACTAATGAAATAATTTTCATTTATATGCACCAATACAACAATACGTGGCAATATTTACCAAGAAAAAATACTACAACATTTTAAGCACGCCACGTGGGCAGTAATTCCGTGAACATGACTGATGACGCAAATGAATCGTTGTAAAGCTTTTGAATCGATTCAGAAGGTCAGTCCTCCACACAGATACAGTAAATATGGCTGAACGCGGTAGTGAATCTCGAGATGACATTGTAGTAAACCATATGTCTAATTCAGGTAAAGCTGATCTCAGAAGTGTTCTGGTTACAAGTGTTTTGAATTTAGAAAAGCTCGACACCGACCTGTACAGGTAAACAAATGTATTTTTCAAAATATTGAGTCTATTAGATTTACTTAGCAACAGTAACATACTTCCAGTGAGTTAACTGATCTTTAATAATGCTCTCAAAACGTCAGCACAAAAACTTTATTTCTGGAACGTTTATTTCTGGAACGTTTTAGTTGGACGTTCTTCTGACGTTTTATAAATGTAACAATTTGTTTCAGAACGTGCATAGAAACTGGAATGTTTTGAACTTTCAGCGAAAATTCAGAAATAACGTTTTAAGGGGTTAACGTTAGTCCCCCAAAAATAAAATAATTCCATGAGGTAATTTCCTCATCCTTAAGCCATCCTAGGTGTTTATGACTTTTCTTCTTTCAGCAAAACACAATCTGCATTGTTAAAAAATATCTCAGCTCTTCCAAGATTTATAATGGGAGTGAATGGTACCTTAGATTTTGAAGCCCAAAAAAGCGCATTCATCCATCATAAAAGTAATCCATATGGCTCCAGTGGGTTAATAAAGGCCTTCTGAAGCGAACTTGTGCATTTTTGTTAGAAAAATGTCCATATTTATAACTTATAAAGCTGGGAAGAGCAAGGATAGTTTCTAATATAACTCAGACATTGTGTTTGGCTAAAAGAAGAAAGTCACATACACCTAGAATTACTTGATGGTGAGTAAATTATGGGATAATTTTCATTTTCATATTCAAGGGTGAACTAACCCTTCAATAGGAGCTTTATGAAAATGTTCCTAAAATATATTTTTGTTAGCTGGGCTTCTAAACTAACAAAGGGTACCATGGTACCATGTTTTTCTTCTTACAGAGGGACACATCACTGGGTTCCTCGCACTAAACGCCTTTTCGGTGGCCAGATTGTTGGACAGGCTCTTGTAGCCGCAGCCAATTCAGTCAGTGAACATCTCTATGCTCATTCACTGCACTGCTACTTTGTGAGAGCAGGTACACTCAGATGTTATCTAATCACACATGGAAAGTTTGGTTTTCCCTTTATTTCTCAACAATTGTGTGTTCAGGGGACCCGAAGGTACCTGTGCTGTACCAGGTGGAAAGGACTCGGGATGGCCGCAGTTTCTGTGTGCGATCGGTGAAAGCCGTTCAGCACGGTCAGCCCATACTGATCTGTCAGGCGTCGTTTCACATGCAGCAGCCGAGTCCACTGGAGCATCAGTTCATCATGCCCACCGTCCCTCCACCGCACACACTGCTCACCGTCGAGGAACTCATTCAGCGCTACCTCAGGTCTCAGCACAAAACTATGTGTTTCCCATTGCGAATTATTATTATAAGTCATATATTGTATGCAGAGTTTGAAATGAACTTTTTCACCCACCGGCCAATTTGGCTACTAAATTTTAAAGTTACCGGCCATTGAGAACTTCTACTAGCCAAAAATTTTAAAATAAACTCGATAAAAGCTGCAGTCCGTAACTTTTTAGGGTTAAAAATTATCCAAAATAAATTTTTGAGCAAGTACATAACCAGCCAGTGTTCAAAACTCTCTGCTTGCCTTAGCTCGATTAAAAACAGTAAGCTTGTAATAATGTTTTTAACTCCAGTGGTACTGGTGGATTTACGCGGGAGATTCGAGCATGTCTTTGCGTCATTACGTCACATCTGTACACATAAAGAAGAGTCTCGGCTAGTATAAGCTATATTGAGTCATTACGTCACATCTGTACACATAAAGAAGAGTCTCGGCTAGTATAAGCTATATTGAGTCATTACGTCACATCTGTACACATAAAGAAGAGTCTCGGCTAGTATAGGCTATATTGAGTCATTACATCACATCTGTACACATAAAGAAGAGTCTCGGCTAGTATAAGCTATATTGAGTTATTACGTCACATCTGTACACATAAAGAAGAGTCTCGGCTAGTATAAGCTATATTGAGTTATTACGTCACATCTGTACACATAAAGAAGAGTCTCGGCTAGTATAAGCTATATTGAGTCATTACGTCACATCTGTACACATGAAGAAGAGTCTCGGCTAGTATAAGCTATATTGAGTCATTACATCACATCTGTACACATAAAGAAGAGACTCGGCTAGTATAAGCTATATTGAGTCATTACGTCACATCTGTACACATAAAGAAGAGACTCGGCTAGTATAAGCTATATTGAGTTATTACGTCACATCTGTACACATAAAGAAGAGTCTCGGCTAGTATAAGCTATATTGAGTCATTACGTCACATCTGTACACATAAAGAAGAGTCTCGGCTAGTATAGGCTATATTGAGTCATTACATCACATCTGTACACATAAAGAAGAGTCTCGGCTAGTATAAGCTATATTGAGTTATTACGTCACATCTGTACACATAAAGAAGAGTCTCGGCTAGTATAAGCTATATTGAGTTATTACGTCACATCTGTACACATAAAGAAGAGTCTCGGCTAGTATAAGCTATATTGAGTTATTACGTCACATCTGTACACATAAAGAAGAGTCTCGGCTAGTATAAGCTATATTGAGTCATTACGTCACATCTGTACACATAAAGAAGAGTCTCGGCTAGTATAAGCTATATTGAGTCATTACGTCACATCTGTACACATAAAGAAGAGTCTCGGCTAGTATAAGCTATATTGAGTTATTACGTCACATCTGTACACATAAAGAAGAGTCTCGGCTAGTATAAGCTATATTGAGTTATTACGTCACATCTGTACACATAAAGAAGAGTCTCGGCTAGTATAAGCTATATTGAGTCATTACGTCACATCTGTACACATGAAGAAGAGTCTCGGCTAGTATAAGCTATATTGAGTCATTACGTCACATCTGTACACATAAAGAAGAGTCTCGGCTAGTATAAGCTATATTGAGTCATTACGTCACATCTGTACACATAAAGAAGAGCCTCGGCTAGTATAAGCTATATTGAGTCATTACTCACATCTGTACGCATAAAGAAGAGTCTCGGCTAGTATAAGCTATATTGAGTCATTACATCACATCTGTACACATAAAGAAGAGTCTCGGCTAGTATAAGCTATATTGAGTCATTACATCACATCTGTACACATAAAGAAGAGTCTCGGCTAGTAGGCTATGAGTGTGAGGATGCTGGAGGTGGAGATTTATAGCCTTTTCTCACAGCACTTGATATAATTAAACGTATTAATTTGATGGCGGATCCAGAAAGGTTCAAACGACAATCACTAGTGACAGCTGGAGAAAAATGAACAGATCAATACAATACAAATAACATGAAACATGTAGGATGTTGGAAAATAACAATGTTTTTTCTGTTAACCAAATGCTTTTTAATCTTCGCTTTTGCTTCAATGTAAATGATCAAGCGTGCCGTTATTTGTTGCATATGACTGGCATGTTCACGTAAGCCAGATATGCACAGATTCTGTGCAATACGCTGTATTTCATATATCATGATGACTCACGAGTCGAGTATTTGCACTAAATCTGTCCAGATTTGGATTACACGAACTTCCCCAGCAAAGTGATTAAGGATAACAAGTAACACACCAAATTGGCTCGTGATTTGACAGTGTTACCCGCCACAGCTGGTTTTTACCCGCATTTGGCGGGTTGGCGGGTGTTAATTTCACACCCTGACTTTCTTTTTGTTTACAGTGATCCAAACCTGGCTGATAATACGCGACAGGGCCTAAATAAAATACTTGCTGATGAAGTTCCTATAGAGATCAAGCCAGTCAACCCACCTGATTTCTATAGACA